CGGTTACGTCCTCCTCCTCCTCTGGACATCTTTCAGGAGAGACGGAGGGAACACAGCACAAGTGGAAGAGCGAGGTGGAGTTCCTCTCGCCGTTCTCTCCGCGGCAACTCAGGCAAGCTCGCATGGCGTTTCTACGTCCGCTCTCTGGCGTGTTGCTCGCAACGACTGCTGACATGTGGGGTCCCCAAATGCCAAGCTGGCTAGATCGCGGTAACAAATTGTGCGTGAGCCTTACGTAGTGCGAAGGAATATGAACGCGGGTGATCTGAGGTGAGCAAGTCGGAGTGTGAGTGCGTCCGGGTACGATTGAGCCTGAATGTGATAGTCAGTGTGAGAACGAGTGGGCCCGGGTATGAGTGAGTCTGAGTGCGAACGAGTCTAAATGCGAGTGGGTCTGGGTGAGTGAGTCGAGTATGGGTGCGTCTGACTTGGAGTGTAATGTATACATATATGACTGCGAATGTAAGTAGGAGTGAGCTTGGATGCGGGGTCGTCCAAAGATGAGTGAGTCTAAGGGCTGGTGACCCTGAGTGTGAGTGAGTCTAAATGTGAGTTGGCCTGGGTGTGAGTGAGTCTAAGTTTGAGCGAGTCTGAGTATGAGCGAGTAAATAGGTGTGAGTCTAAGTCTGATCGAAATTGAATATGAACAAGTCTGACTGTGACGAGTAAGTCTGAATGAGGAAAAGGTGCAGATGAACAAATCCAGATGCGAATGAGTGAGTCCAGGTGGGGAACAACGGGAAGAAGGTGAGTGAGTGAGTGAGTGAGTGGGTGGGTGAGTGAGTGAGTGGGGAGCGCAACCGTCTAATGAGAACTCTGGGGGGCAGAAACAAGCAAACCGCCTGAACCCCCCCCCCCCCCCAGTCTGAACGCGAATCCTGAAGTGTCCCCACCCATGGCGGCTCCGCCTTGGGGGGGGCCAAGTGCCACGCCTGCTAGATCGCGGTGAGCAGTGGACCACCAAAAGAGAAAAAGTCAGGGGGGGGGGCAGAAACAGGCAAACCGCCTGAGACATCCCCACAAACTGGGCGCGAACCCTGGAGTGTCCCACCTGACAGCTCCCCCTTGGGGTGCCCAAGTACCACGCCACCTATATCGAGGCGAACATCGGATCACACAAACAGATTGTGGGAGGCAAATACAAGCAAACTGCCTGAGACATCCCCACAATCTGGACGCGAACCCTGAAATGTCCCCCCCCCCTGGCGGCTCCGCCTTGGGGGGGGCCAAGTGCCACGCCTGCTAGATCGCGGTGAGCAGTGGACCACCAAAAGAGAAAAAGTCAGGGGGGGCAGAAACAGGCAAACCGCCAGAAAAATCCTCACAAAGTGTTTTGAAATCAAAAGGTGTTGGGCACGCAAACAGGCAAACCGCCCAAGACATCCCCCCAAGGGCGCGAATCCTGGAATGTCCACACCCCTTGCGCCCTCTCCTGGGAGCGGAGAAAATGCCACGCCTGCAGTATCGAGGTGGGCATTGGACCACAAAAAAACTGAAGAGGGGGCAACCACAAGCAAACCGCCTGAGGCATCCTCAAAAATTGCTTCGGAAGCTGATGATGTTGGGCACGCAAACAGGCAAACCGCCTGAGTCATCCCCAGAATCTGAATGCGAATCCTGGAATGTCCCTGCCCCTGGCGCCCCCCCTTAGGAGTGCTGAAACCAGCGCCTCGCCTGAGACATCCTCATAATCTGGTCCGAAAGCAGAACGCGTTGGGCACGCAAACAGGCAAACCGCCTGAGACATCACAACAATCTTGGCGCGAATCCTGGAGTGTCCCCACCCCTGGCGCCATCTCATTGGGGTACCCAAATGCCACGCCTGGTAGATCCCCGTGGGCAGTGGACCACTGAAAAGAAAAAAAACTTTGATATCCTCACAATGTGCTTTGCAAACGTAAGATGTTGAACCCGTAAACAGGCAAACCGCCCGAGACATTCTCCCAATTTGTACGCGAATCCTGGAATGTCCACACCCCTGGAGCCCACCTTAGGAGTGCTGAAACCAGCGCCTCGCCTAAGACACTGCTCCGGAAGCAGAGGATGTCGGGCACGCAAACAGGCAAACCGCCGGAGACATCACCACAATCTCAGCGCGAATTCGGGAGTGTCCCAACCCCTGCCCAGCCTGGCGCCCCCTCCTCGGGGTGCCCAAATTCTACGCCTGCCATATCGCGGTGAGCATTGAGCCACCAATGAGTAGAGCCTGAGTCTGAGTATGAGAGGAGGAAGAACCTAACTAGTTAAAGTGTGAGTGAGTCCGAGAGTAAGTGAGTCCAAGTGTGAGTGACTCTGAGTGTGAGTGGGCCTTAATGTATTGAGTCTGAGTATGAGTGATTATGAGTGTGAGTGTCTGACTGTGAATGAGGCCTGAGTGTAAGCGAGTCAGAGCATGAGTGAGTCTGAATGTGAGTGAGTCTGAATGTGAGTGAGTTTGAGCGTGAGTGAGTCGGAGTATGAATGAATCTGAGTGCGAGTGAATCACTCTGGTTGGGGGAGGGGAGGAAGAGGAGGTGATTTTCCTGGAGCCGCTAATATCAAGACGCCCATCTTAGGATAATTATGGGAAAACAACAACACTGTCACAGCATCACGACACGAGCCCTGGGCCCCAAACCTTGCGAGGGCACGGGAGCCCAGAACTGGCCCGGAAGCGCACGAAACAAAGCCGAAGCCCAAATCTAGGCTTCTTCGCGTCGGGAAAAGACACGGGGAACTCTTGATTGTGTTCGGCCTCCCGGGGGCCCTTACCGGACCCCTGAATCGTGAAAAACACCTCAGGGTGAAAAGTCATTCCTCGGGAAGGATGTCAGACCTCCGGGGAACCGCGCTGCAAAAAAAGCACGCCGCCGGACGCCTGGGGACCTCTGTGCTGCAACTGTCGGGGACGCACGAACCCGGGTCGGCCAGGGCCCCGCCGCGAAGCCCGGCTAGTCGCTCAGTAGCTCCCCAAACCAGGTCAGCGGAGGGCGGGAAGGGTGAATCGGCCCCACGTGGCTCCCAAGCACGGATAAGCCGGGGTTGGCTGACCTCCGCTAGCGCTAGTTAACCGCCGCCACGTGAGCACCGCGCAATACCCCCCCCCCTCGCGCCAGGTCCTATCTTCGTAGATCTCTATGAGCGCTCCTCTTCACCACGAGGAGCGCCCTTGAAAGACGAGCGCGCAGATGGGCCTGCCTCAGGCAAGAGCCTCGTTTTGACTGAGGCTCCCAAGAGGGGTGTCGAAAATTATGGACCGAGGCACGTGCGCGGCCCAAGGGGGACCAGGGGACGCAATGAAACAAAAAGAGAGACCATGAGATCTGTGGAGATATAACGACCCTGGTCATGATATCCACACACACACACCTCTAGTCTTCACCCCACTCTTGGCCGCCTCCGATTCGAGAGATGTAGGTCTGCAGCGTCTTTGCGGCAATGTGAAGCGGTCGGGTCATGAGACCAGGGGGGCTCCAACGAGGGCCTCGTTAGGAGAAGGCGCCGCCCCCCCCCCAAACGTGCAGACAGCTGGTGCACAGTTTGCAGTGTTTGGCCAGAAGGGCAGAGGAAGTCCCGGGCGACGACACCAGTCTGAAAAGGAGCCGGCCTCCATCTGTGTAGCCGCTGCTGTATACAGATTTACAAATGTAACTTGATATATGTCCTGGCATAACTTAGAAAGTGTCAAGGCAGAGCCCAATTTTGAAAATGGGCCACCGCCAAAGTTGAAAACGGCTTGCCCTCCACCTTTGCAACTGTGACCAGCATTCAAGACGAATACACGCAGCGCTATAGCAAGAGCAACGCTTTGAAAACACCACGCCCTCCATCAGAGTAGCTCTTGACGGTTTCAAGTGCCGGGATGATGAACGACGTGACGAGGAGGACTCGGGTGAAAAGCCGTGCCCGCCCTACCAGCATTTCTCGTGGTGCGGCGAGAAGGTCGTCGCCGACGCCGCCGGCGCCGTGATGGTCGTCGTCGTAGACTGGAGGCGGGGAAGGAGGCGGAGGAGGAGGTGGAGGTGGAGGAAGGTGGAGGTGGAGGACAGTGGAGGGATGGAGGAGGGAGGAGGAGGAGGAGGAGCAGGAGCCAGACGACAGAGAGAGAGAGAGAGCGCATGAGAGAAAGAGAAGCGAGAGAAGCGGGGAGAGTCGGCGCGGCGAGGGGGGGCGGGGGGCGGGCGAAGGGAGGGGGGGGGCAGCGGCAGGACGAGGAGGCGCGGCAGCAAGCGCGGGGAGGAAGGCGGCCATCGGATGCGGCCCCCGATGCGAGCCTGGCCGCCCGCCCCCCCCCCCCCCGGGAGGTCCAACAGGGCGGCATGCCAGAGCCTCCTCCTCCTCCTCATCCTCCTCCTCCTCATCCTCCTCCTCCTCCTCCTTCCACCCACCGCGCAGTCGAAGCCTCCTCCTCCTCCTCCTCCCTCCTCCCTTTCCCTCCCTCGTCTTCCTCCCTCCCCATCCTTGGATGCCGAATATAGGGCGGCCTAGGGCGAGATTCCAGATACCAGATCCTCTCTATTCTCCTCCCCCTCATCCCTGATGCCAACTACAAGGCGACATACCAAATACAGGATCCTGCTCCCTCCCTCCTTCTCCCACTGACTGTGCAGCCACGGCTTGCCAGAAGGAATCCCAGACAGGGAACGACGCCCCCTCTTTTAGCCAGGGCTGCACCCAGGAAGCACGAGGAGCTCCCAGAGCAAATCCAAAGAGGGACCCAACGGAGCGCCAAGCCCCTCCCGGAACCAACGTGAGCATTTCCCAACGTTTTGATTGTTGTAGGGAAGATTCGGCGGCGAGCCCAAGAGCGAAGTGAGAGGGGGCAGGCCTTCTCAAAGAGGCTTCTCAGAAACCTTCGTGCCTTTCTGAGGGGCTGTCAGTGGCTTCGCAGTAGGCTTGCAAGGCCTCTCATAGGGCGCGAGGGCTTCTGGGAAGCCCCGCCGCCAACCTAAGAGGGCCTGCCCCCTCTCACTTCCCCCCTGGGCCCGCCGCCGAAAGAAGAGAAGAGCAGCCAGCGGCTCTCACGTGCAGAAGGTGCCCTGGCAGACCACGACCGGCCGCGTGTCCCAGGCGTGCGTGTAGTCCTCCGAGTCGAGCGGGTTGAGCTCGACCATGCCGGTGTACAAGCCGAGATCCCTCGCCGAGGAGAAGACAAGCCCCGAGCAGCCGTGTTCGCGCTTCGCGCCGCGCGAAGCACGGACGACTTTGCGCTCTCGGGCCGCCCCGCCGGGGGAGAAGAGGAGGACGAGGAGGCTAAGGATGAAGAATCCCGGATCGCGAACCACGGACAAACGTCGTCGCACCTGGGAGAACTGCAGACACGGACCGAAAATCTCTTCACTCTTCTACAGGAAGAAACAACCGCATAATCACAAGCATCCGAGGGTCCGCGCGGATTTCTTGGATCGGCGCTGGACCCCCTGGCGGCGCCTCCGGTGCCGCCCCTGGCGCGCTTTGCGTACCAAGGAGGGAGGTCCAACGCAAATCCAAGAGATCCGCGATCCGCGCGGAGCTCCGAAATTTTCTGTTCATGTCATTGTTTGTTCCTCGATCTTCGCCCTCTTCCGATGGACAGGGCGAAATTCCTGGCGCGCTGCGAAATCCTGTCCTGGAGACCTCCCAGACGGAATCAAGATCGCCCAGCATCTCCGACACATCGGCAATGCTGGGATGACAAAGTAAGGATCCCAATCGTGCCGCATCGCCGATGCATTGGCGATGCGGCGCGATCCTCCAACCCCATCTTCTATGGCCCCATTTGGGAGTCCTCGGAATCCCAGAACCCAAAGGTACCAATACCGCCACCACCCGGACCGTCCCCAGGGGTGCGCTCTGACCAGAATTTCGAGGCGAATTCAGCGGTGGCGACGAGGCGGGCCAAGGAGGCCCGAAAAGGCGAAAACGAGGGAAGGATAGCAGCATGAGTACCTCTTCCTCTTCTGAGTAAGAGGCCCCCCCTGGGGCAGCAGTACAGGCGGTCTACCAGAAGGGGCGGGGTGGCTCTGGGCGGGCCACGGGGCGCTCCTTCGTCCCCGGCCATCGGCGAGGAGTGTGCGAGCGGGGGCTGATGCTTCTCAGAGGGGGCCCAGGAAGACAGACACACACAAATTCCAGGACGCCCGACTGATTCGCACATCTTCTGGAGTTTCGCCTTCCCGTCCGCTTCCCACGGTTTCCCACATCTTCCTGGGAATGTGCGTTGAATAATGTCTGTGATCGTTGTTCCCCTCCTGAGGTTGATGCTTCTCGCTCTGAGCCTGCCCCCTACCCCTGCCATCCTCGCGCCGTGAAGAAAAAACGCGATGGGACGCGTTTGGCCATTCTGGACCCCAAATGGCCAGCGCTGATCAGGGGCTGGCCACCCACGATTTCGAGCGCGGCTGCTGCGCTCAGTGCTGCGGGGCACCTCAGCCCAGACCAGCACCAGAGCGGCGCACACACACACACACACACACACACACTCCCTCCTTCGGACAGCAAATGGCCGAAATCACCTAGCGTCGAGCTTGGCACTGCGCGAAGCGCAATCACCTTCTTGGGGAAACCAAGAGGTACCCGTACCGTTACTCCCCAGACCTCTCCTGGAGCGCAATCCGACCAGAATTTCGCGAGGCGCATCCAGCGGTGGCGACGAGGGCCTCCCAGGAGGCTGGAAAAGGCGAACACGGGCGAAGGGTAGCGGTATGGGTACCTCTTCCTCCTATGAACCTTCGCGCCATCGCACGGCATTCAGGGAGAAGGACAACTCTGAAGTCCTCCGAGATGGGGCCAGAGAAGATATGGGGTCGGACCCCGACCGTCGTATCGCCAAGATGCACTGGCGACGTCGGTTTGGAGACAATAGGACTCCAAATCGCGCCGCATCGCGGCGATGCGGCGCGATCCTCCGACCATACAGTCAAAACTGATAATTATAAAGGATGCGCCATAAGGATGCAAGTCTCTTGGACGCCCGTGTTGAGGCTCTTTCGAGCGCGGCGGGCCATCGAAAGTAATCAAGGACGGACCAAAGAGGCACGGATGCACGGGTACCCTTGGGAAAGTTACCCATCCTTACCATTGGTTTCGACTGTATCTTCTCTGGCCCCATCTGGGAGGTCTGGAAACTCTCCAGCCCAGACCGCGAAGCGCGGATCGCGGTAACCTTCGCATCCCTCAAGGTGGCCGAGGCTAATCGGGGCTGGCCACTTCCAATGAATGTAACTGTAGCGTATCATCAGGTTGAGGACATAAACCGTGGAAGCCTGGCCCGGATGAGCCAAAGCGAAATCTTGCCAGAACTGGTGGTTTGGCTGACCCTGTCAGAACTGCCCCCCCCCTTTTCAATCCGCCGACTTTTTGCACTGCGAGTAGAGGGTCTGCACCGTCTGCACATCGTTATTGTCGATGGCCTTTTCAAGCTTACCGACCTTCTTGGCATAGGACCTGATCAATTTCACCTGCGGAAGATAATCATTGACGTCGTCAGCACTGTAGCGGAAGGCGCTGGCGAGCAGATCCGACGCGAGCTTGAAGTCGAGCCACCGGGAAGTCTTCTTCTCTTTCGTCTTGCAATCAGCGAAGTTGCAGTTTCGAATCTGCTGCCCGCCCACCTGCTTGACGATAGTCTTGCCGAAAAAGTCCTCGATCAGCGGGTCCTGCAGGTTCCCCGCCTTGATGGGCTCCTCATGCAAGCAACCACGAGAAACATCAAGGGCCCGCCCCCATGGCAGGACCTGGTGGGACCGCGGCTGGGGGTGTCTTTTCCTGCGCCCCCCACAACGGTGCGAGAGGCCATCCCGACCCCCAGTGCCGCAGCCTTTCGACCCCCCATGGTGGGGCATGGTGGGACTGGAAACCAACAGACACCCGACGCCGTGAAAGATCACAACGTCGAGATCAAATACGACCCGAACTCCCGACCCACTTTAATCGGAACGTGTAAACGTCCGCGCGGATTTCCTGGATCGGCGCTGAACCCCGCCCCTAGCGGAACAGGCACTACGAGCGGCGCTGGATGCGCCGCATTGGGAGTCCTACGCGAAACCAAAAGATCCGCGCGGACCTTTGATAACGAATGGTACGTTCTCTCACGAGGGGGTCCCATGAGCTCGACGCTCGCGGAGCGCAGCTGCGAAGGCGTGAAACGGGAGAGGCGCAGGAGGAAAACAACGCTCGACAGCAGAGGCAATGTGTCAGTCGAGGGATGTCTTCGTGTCTGTCTCCCCCACCCCATCTGCTGGACTCCCCACGGACCTCAAGAGCCCTCCATGAGCCCCCCAAGAGGCCCCCAAAAGGCTCCCAAGCGGCGTCACAACTGCCTCCCAGAGGCCACCGAGAGCCCTCCGAAGAGACCCTCAGAAGCATCCACGAGGACTCTGACCCGCAACCCAGGATCAGTGGCAGGATGGGCCGAAAGCCACTAGATCCGCCGCCCCCTGCGATCTTGCCACAATGGTGCCTGGCGAGCTGGATGTTTGGAGGTTTGTGGTTCTGTCAGAACTCCTCTTCAAAAAAGGGAAGGATCCCGCTTTCCAATTGTTTGGCCCTCGACGCGGAATTCGAACGCATGGGGGTGTTGGACTCCGTTGCCATTGTGGATCGAGCCATCGAATCTTGGCCCCGGCAAACCCCAGTCCCCTCGGCCTGGCGCATGCCCTCCGCCGAGGAGAAGCGCAAGGCCAGGGATGGAGTCAGCTGCTGCTTGAACGCCCGGTTCGGCGAGTTCGGCAGCCGGTGCTTCTGCGGGATGCAGGCGCCATGCGCAAAGCGCTGTATGAGCAAATCTGCGGCAAGGGATCCACCGAGCAAGTGGGCCAAATGGGTGAGTTGCGGAGCGAGTGGTCGCGAGCTGGCGGGGCAGGCTGGCAGCCGTCCTTCTTGGACGCCGGGAAGGAGGGCCTCAACCTGGCGTCGCGCGCGGCAGGGATGATAATCATGGAGATATCGAGATCGAGGGGCACCACGCGTTGCAGCAGTGTTTCTATTCGGGCGTTTGTAAGTTACGGCACCGCGCGCGGGCCGTCATGATGACGTACAGCTGCCTCGCCTTCGTGCTGCCCCCGCACCAGTGGGACGAGCTCCGTGTATTCGTGAAGGGAGGGGCCCAGAAATAAAACGCCACGTACTGGAGCTGCACATGCGAATTGTCCACGCACGCGAAATACCCAGGTCTCATCCACTACCGCGCTTACTTCTCCTGGCACGGCTGCAGCAACGGCATCGACCTCTCCGCGACGAACGAGTCAGTCTACGCGGGCGCGCGGCCCCGCATAGCCGCCAAGGCTGAGAACCGTGGTCCATCGGAGTGGCTGCGCGCCACCAGGCACGGGCACTTCTTTGTGTGGGTATGGAAGCCTGGCGCCGAGTACGCAGAAGCCAATTATGCCCCCTGGGGCTTTGAGGGAAGCTGCGTAAAGGCCACGGCTGACGGATGGCTTGCCTGGGGGCCGCCGTGGCGACGGAGACACTGCACGCACACAAGAAGGAGCAGTCAGCAGCACTGGAGGCGATGCGGGCGAGATCAAGGCCAATGAAGCATTTGTGCCCCGCCATTGAATCTTGGATGGTATACTTTGGTGAGGTCGATGGCAGCTACCAGCTCCTTGTTCTCCATGGGCCGTCCCGCGCGGGGAAATCGGAGCTGGCGCGATCACTGTTCGATGCAGGGCAGACCCTGGTGGTCGACGTGATGGGTGCCCACGAGCCGAAGATGCACTCGTACCAGTGAGGCGTCTACAGACCTGCACTGTTGGACGAGATGCAAGGCCCGGTTTCATCATCAGGAACAAGAAGCTGTTGCAGATGCGCATCGATGGCGCAGAGTTGGGCAAGAACCCAATCACGCAGCATGTGTACCACGCCGGGGGGGGGGGCCAATGTGCCCCGGGGGGGACCAGGAAATCGCGGCACTCTCTAGGGTGGGTTCGAAGCGCAGGCCGACACGTCCTGCCGCGGGGGTAGTTGTTACTCTTCTCTCCCTGCTCGCTCCCTGCCGCCGCCGCCCGCAATTATCTAGGCTGCATTGGAAAAACGCCGCTTGCGGGCACCGCGGGCCTGACGGCGCGTGAGAGTAAAGGCTGCGAGTCGTCGTCGCCGTCACTCCTCCTCCTCTCTTTTGTTCTCTTGTCTTCAGCCACTCATAGCTTCACGGATCACAGACAGCATGTCTGATATACCCATCACGGGCTATCAGACCGATGCGATAACATCACCATCATATCCCACCTCTGCTGGAATCCGTATTGTTCGGACGAAAGAATCATGTGCTTCAAGACGGCACTCCGACTGCCCAAGGCGGCCCAAGATCGCCGCAAGATGAACCAAGAGGCCTCCAAGTTGGCCCTACGACGGCCCAAGAGGCCTCCAAGACTGCCCCAAGAGTGCCCCACGACGCTCGAAGAGGCGTCCAAGACCCCCCAAGATGCCCTCCAAAACGGTTCCCAAGCGCCCCAAGAAGGCCCCAAGATAGCTTCCGACAGCTTCAGACGGGCGAGGAACGCCGCAACACTGCCAAACTGGCCACCCAAAAAAAACCCTCAAGGCCCCACAGCGCAAGAGGCCCCCAGGAAGCTCCCAGGAGGCTCCAGGCAAGAATAACCCAAGAGGCTCCCAAGAGGTGTCCTTATCCTTCTCCTCCTCCTCCTGTTTCCTCCCTCTCGTCATCCTCTTCCCCCAACGTGTTCCTCGAAAAGCTTCCACAACGGCTGGGTGAACGCATAGTCGGAACGCATAGTCCAATAGTGTGGCCAACAGCATGGCCAAAGTTTGCCCAAACGTTTGGCCACAGGGGCGGCGGTGCTTCGCAATAGGCGTCTTCGATGATAGACCTCGCCCCTCGTTGGTGGTGCCCGACGCGCAATTGCCGCCACTTTTCTGCGCCCATTGGGGGGCTCACCGAAGTGCGAGCGCAAGCATATCCAAACTACTTAGGCCTCGGCTCTCATGGGTGCTGCGGCACGGAAGTGTTGCCGCTTGACTGCGCATCCAGGGCGACCACTGAAGCCTTCGATGAGTTTTTCAGTTCAACCTTTTTGTGTCATGGGACCCGTGATGCAATTCACAGCGGCCACCCCTCGGACCCGCAGAAAAAAACACCCTGCCCACTCCTCATACTTCAGGTTGTTTTTTCCATTCTCCCGTTCTCACCATACTCCCCGCCGGCTACCACGCATTCAGCGCAGCAGCTTCCTGATGTGGCTCGGCGAGCACGCTGTACTAGCCTTAGCGACGCAGTCGGATGAGCTGGGTACGGCGGGTTCATGTCGCGAAGACTTGCGCGGTGGTTTCTGACACCGCGTGGATCATTCAACCTTGAACGATGAAGGCCTTCCAATACCGCAAGATCGTTCGATCTCGCCCGACTTTGGGCCACTAGCGGCGTTCAACCTTACACGCCCGCAATGGGGGCGCCGCCAACCCGAAACGACACGTGCCGTACGCCTTGGGTACCTTTCACGACGTCTGCAAAGTTGTGCTCGCCGTTGCTCGCGTCTCCTCCATCTGCAGAAACTGGTAGATGCCCTGGCGAACGCGCCCGTAGAAGCGCCTCGTCGCCGAGGGGCCGCGTGGACGGATATGGGATGGAGGTTCGAAAGGAGAAGAATCAGGATGTGAACCCAGCTCGCGGAGCGATAACCAGTCATGTTTCCCAACCCTCCTATGTTGGGCACTCGTTTTGAATAGAGCACTGCGGTCTCCACCTCCCTCATCTCCTCCTCCTCCTCCTCCTCCTCCTCCTCCTCCTCCTCCTCTCCCTCCTCCTCCCTCTCCTCCTCCTCTCCCTCCTCCTCTCCTCCCTCTCCTCTCCTCCTCCTCCTCCTCCGCCTCCGCCTCCGCCTCAGCCTCCGCCTCCTCCTCCTCCTCGCCTCCTCCTCCTCTCCCTCCTCCCCCTCCCTCCTCTCCTCCCTCCTCCTCCTCCTCCTCCTCCTCCTCCTCCTCCTCCTCCTCCTTCCTCCTCCTCCTCCTCCCCCGCCTCCTCCCCCGCCTCCCCTCCCCTTCCTCCTCCTCCTCCTGCTGCTCCTCCTCCTGCTGCTCCTCCTCCTCCTCTTCCTCCTCCTCCTCCTCCTACCCATCCTCGTTCCTCCCTCCATTATTCTCCTCCTCGATTTCTTATTCCTCCTCTCTGCCGCGTGACCCTGCCGTCCGCTGGGGGGCTGCGCTCTGTGAAGTGCAACCTCTCTCGTGGGCGCCTGGGGGGTCCAGCGGAGGGGTGTCCCACGCAGATCACTAAGAGACCTCGCCGTCCTGGGAGGTCCTGCGGAGGGATGCGCCGCGGGGATCACCATGAGACCCCGCCGTCCCTGGGAGGCTGCGATGTGCGAAACTGCCGCCACCTTCGTGGGCCCATGGGAGGTCCAGCGGAAGTGGTGTCCCACGCAGATCACCACGAAACCTCGCTGTCCCCTGGTGGGCTGCGATCTGCGAAACTGACGCCATTTTCGCGGACCCCTGGAAGGTCCAGCGGCGGGGTGTCCCACGCAGATCACCACGAGACCTCGCCGTCCCCTGGGGGGCTGCGACTTGCGAAACTGTAGCACCCCAACCCTCCACCCCCGAATCTCCTTATCGTCTGCAGGGTACTCCACTAGGTTTTGGGGTTACCCGGCGCGCATCTCAGGTGAGGAGAGAGATGAAAAGGGACGAGGATCGGCAAGGAAAGAAAGAGAGAGAGAGAGAGGAGGCAGGAGGAACGAAGATCGAAAAGAGTGGAAGGGGTCACGGAATTACAGAGAATGAAACCAGGCCAATCACCAAACAATGTACTATCCACACGGCGGAAAGAAGCTCCGTCTTGCCGAACGCGTCAGGCTTCGCAGGAAGCCCAAGTGAGAACCTAAACTGAGCCACGACCCAGCGGGGAACCAACGAAATCCTCCGAATACCCGACCCAAGTCCTCGGCCTCAGAACCGACCAGCAGACCTGTCCCAGGGGCACGCCCTGACTACGATCTCCAGGCGGATCTTGGTCTCCCAAGGGCCTCGGTATCGACCCTGGACCTCTAGTGGAGCGCTTTCTGACCGGGATTCCTGGGCGGATCTACCTGTCGCAACGAGTAGGCCTAGAAGCGACGCCGAGGATAAGGAGGATATAACTACCCTCCTGCCCCAAACTCCAGCCTTGATATTTTGCCCATGGGATCCATGAGCCACCAAACCTCTCTCAACCGTTTCGCGAGGACCGCTTTTCCACCACAGATCGGTTCTGCATGGTACAGGAGCCTGGCCTCGCGCTTCACCTTCCGAGATCGACCCCCAGAACGATCCTAGGGCACGTCATGGCCAAACATTCGAGGCAGATCCGACCGCGGCAACGAGGGCGCCCGAGGACCCAGACATCCGACGTTGTGATTGTTTCGTCGCATCGTCGTGGCTGCCTAGAGGTCAGGACCTCTTCCTCGGGACTGGCTTGTCATCTTGAGCCATTCCTTGACAGCCACGAGGCCTGGCAAGAGCACCCCCACCCCCCCCGGACGACGACGATTGCCCAGAAAAAATATCACCGTGATCTTGTTCGCGCGCGACGCAGCGATACCAGGGGGAGCTCCTGAAAGGCACCCAGAAACGTGAAAAATCTCTGTATCTTGAAGACGAAACACGGCATGAACATAACTTCTCAGAGGTCCGCGCGGACCTCCGAGAAATGATGATGTTCAGAAGGCCTCCAGCCTTCTGATAAACTTTCTGAGCAAGGGCCGAGGACTTCTGATAAGTTATCACTGATAAGCCTCGCCGCCAGCTGAGAAGGCCTTGAGGGAGAACATCAGGGGGGGACAGGCTCTGTGGGGAAACATCGAGCTGGAATCGGCGATACATCGCCGATAGATCGACCATAGAACCCCGATAGCGAATCCGCACGGTCCTGGGCGGGGTGGGCCATCGGGCCCGCGTCGGCGATGAATAGGCGATGGGGGGTCGACGCATTCCCCCCTGAGCCTTCCCCCCCTGCCGTTACGACTGATCCTTCCTCCTTCCTCTCTCCTCTGCCCCCTCCTCCCTCCCCGTCCGTCTTCCTCTCTGGGAGCGCACCTAGCAAGAGGTGACCCCATTTGCAACTCCTGACCGAAACCGTGCCACACACGAGAGACAGTTTCATGGCGCCCCCCCCGAGTACCTCCCCTGCTGCTGCCCCTGGCCTGGGCCCACCACCGATCCGCCATCCTCCCCACTCCGGCGGCCAGGCGGCGCACAAGGCCGCCGCGGCAGCCTTTTCGCCGAGGGGATGGTGGAGTACTTGCCGGCCGTCGAGCCGCCGCTGGCCAGGGCCGCGTCGCCCGCGCCCTCGGTCGGCGAGGCCCAGGCCACGGCGGCGGCGATCGCGACGACCACGACGATGACGACGACGACCGCGACCGCGGCTGGGACCGCGACCGCGGAAACGACCGAGGCGGCAACGGCCACGCCCACCGCGACGGCCACGCACACCGCGATGACGCCGACGACGACGACGACGACGACGACGACGACGACGACGACGACGAGGACGACGGGCACCCAGGGACCTCAAGAGACCTCCTGAGACCTCCTCAGAGAACCTGGGACCTCCTGAGGCCTCCAGACGACGACCACGAGGACGGCACAGGCGACAGCGACCACGACAAAAAACACGACGACGAACACCATCTTGTGTCGTTGCGAATACTTGTGTCAACTTCTGCGGTACCCGCGTCGCTACGGCTGGACCCGCCTCGAAATCCTAAAGAATACGCGCTCGGGGAGGCTGAGGGGTGGACCACGAAGACGACTGGGAGGACGGAGGGGAGAGGAGAGGAGGGGAGGGAAGGGAAGAAGGAGAAATAAGAGGGCTGGGGGAACGGGAGGACGGAGGAGAGGAGGAAGGAAGAGAAGAAAGAGACGAACGAAGGGAGGATCAGAGAGAGACGCAGGACGGAGGACGCAGAACGCAGGAGAACGAAGGACGGAACGCGCGGAGAGTAAAGAGAAGGAAAACGTAGAAGACGACGGCGGCGGCAACGACCACAACGGCGACCACGGCGGCGACGTGGTCGTCACCGACGGCAGCGGCGATGACGGACACAACGAAAGTGACGACGGCGAGGACTACCATGGTGGCGACACGCGGCGGGGACGGTTTGGGACCCGGCGCGACGGCGGCCACGAGGGCGACGAACACGAAGGCGACGACCAAAGACCACCGCGGCGGCAACCTGCGGAGGCGACGACGGCAACGACCACGAAGGCTGCGACGGCGGCGGTGACGACCGCAACGGTGACGACTGCGTCGACGGCAACGGCCACCGCGACCGGCGGCGGCGGCGAGCGGAGCGGACGACCACGCGCAGCGCCTCGGCGCCCCACGCCCCCAGCAGCGCGGCCGCGCCCAGCGCGCCCCGGCGGCCCAGGTCCGCGCCCGCGGGCGCCCGCTGCGGGGCGGCTGACACCCACGCCCGTGCCACGCCGCAGGTGGTGGCCTGGGCGGCGGCGGCACCGTCACCGACGGCGGCGCCGACGCTGGCGGCGTCGGACACACTGGCGACGACGGCGCCGGCGGCACCGACGGCCACAGCGAGGGGAACGCCGACGCCGATGCTGGCGACGGCGACGGCCGCGACGACGACGGCGGCGGCGATGGCGGCGGCGACGGCGACGGCGCCCACGTCGACGGCCACGGCGGAGGCGGCGAAGGCGCTTGGCGTCAATCATCACGCGCGGTTCAAGGCGGCGACGGCGACGACGGCGACGAAGGACACGACGACGGCGACGGTGACGGCGACAATGACGGCGACGCTGACGGCGACGATGACGACAACAGCGACGAGGAGCACGACGACGGCGACGGCAATGACGGCGACAATGACCGCAACGGCGACGGCGGCGACGGCGGCGACGACGTTGGCTCCTCATGAATCCTGTTTTCCCCTGCATTTTCCCTCTCTCAACCATCGTTTTCCTCCTCCTCCTCCTCCTCCTCCTCCTCCTCCTCCTCCTCCTCCTCCTCCTCCTTTTCATCATCAATTCCCTGTTCCTGTTTAGTCCCTCCTCCTCGTCCTCCTCCTCCTCCTCCTCTTCCTGCCCCTGCTCCTCGTGTTCCTGCTCCTTCTCCTCATTGCCCTCCGTCCCCCCCGTTCCTTCCCCATTTCCTGTTACGCCGCCTGTTATTACTGTTCCTCCTGCTCCTGCTTTTGCTATTGCTCCTGCCCCTGCTCCTCCTCTTCCTTCCTTGTCATCAGTTTCATCCTTTTCCTCCTCCTCCTCCTCCTCATTTGCCTCCTCCTTCTTCAATACTGCGCCGATGTCTCCCAGATCCCGCCCCCCTCCACTTCCTCCCTCCATCCCTCCGCCCTTCCCTTTGACTCATCCCCCTCGTTCGTCCTTTCGCCCCTGACACCCTTCCCTGCCACCCAACCCTCCCTCATGCATTGTCCAGACGCAGGTCGGCGCCCCTTGAACGTCCCGAACATGCACAATACGGGCGACATCCACGGCGTTCTACCGACCCGCGTCGACCTGGAGGTGCGATTCACGGCCCCGCAAAAAGTTGAATACATTAGGATTCGTCAAGGAGCAACGGGCCACCGTCGCCTCCTCCGACTTCCATCCCGAGGACAAGCAGCGGCACGAAGAGTGCTCGCCAGGCCAACTCTTTCGCCCGGCCTCCTACCGCAGGGAATCTGGCTGCAGGTACGCGCCAGGAGGTCGCCGAGCTGCTGCGACAAAGCGCCAAAGGCGCCGACGACGACGGCCAGGCCGAAGCGCGGGCGCGGAGCTTGCTGATGTTCAGGCCCAGCGAACAGGAACTCACGTGGCAAACCTCGGGGCCGCACGCCACGCGCCGCTCAGGGTACAACCACCCTGGCGCACGCGCCCCACCTCACATACGCGCTGTCGCAGGGCCGAACGCTGCGCAATGGCGTCACCATCGACTGCGCGCAAGGCGAGGACGCTGGCCGCGCGGGCATGTCGGACGACCACTAGCGGCTGCATCTCTACGCCACGTTCTCCCGCGCCACGCGCAGGTGGAACACGCTGATCCTGCGGCCGCCGCCGCGAAGGATTCGTGGAGCGAGGGCCGCCAGCGCCCCTGCAGAAGGCGCCCCTGGAGTTCGACATGAGAGCGGAAAGCTCCAAGACAAAGGCGGAGCAGCTCGCGGCAGAGCTGGAGTTCGTGCTGCCTCCCGCCTGAGCGCGGCGGCACCCCGTTCTAAGCCCGAGGGGTTGTCCCAACGGGTCGCTCTCGCGCGCCAGCGGCTCGCGGGGTTGCCCCGGCGGCTCGGCCAGTGGGGCTGCCCCAACGGCTTCGCGATGCGGCCATTTGAGAACGCGCCCGTCCTGGCCGAGGCGGCGACGGCGCCGAGGAAAATCGACACGCGCGCTCATGCAGTAGAAAAGGAACGAGGTGTGTGGGGGGGGGGGACACAAGGGCGAGGAGGGGTCGTAAAACCGACAAGACCGTGCTGACCTTCCTCGCGGCATTTTGCTTGGAGCCCTTGACGCGGGTGTGGAAGCGACGGGCCAACGGGCCAGACTCAAGCTGAACGACTCCTTCTTCCAGCATCGCACGCTGGAGCAAAGTTATGGGGGGGGTGGACCGAAATTCTGTCTCGCGGTGTTGGTCCTGGTGCCGGACACGATGGTGGTGGGGTCTGGCTCATGATCGTACTTGGCGGACTGTTGCGGCACGGGGATCGGCGGCTGCTCGGAAAGCATGACAACCAAGATGGATTTCATCTCCAT